CCTTACCTGGTGTCCTTTTTTTGTCTCCCTGGTGCTTCTTTAAGCCATTTGAGCGATTTTCGTTTCAACGGTCTGTATCATACTAATAGAGGGAAAAGGTAGGTCAAACCTGGGCCGAGGACTAAATCCATCCCATCGGGGGAGATTGTGGGAGAGCTCTGGTCACCACCATCTGATACTCACTTGAGTTGAAAATAGAATATATTTAACAATATAGCACATCCCATCCGATAAATATCACATGAGGATAACATTTCAGTCACAAATCTATTTTCAACTCAAGTGAGTATTGGATAATGGCGACCAGTGCTCTCCCGCGGTCTCCCCCGATGGGATGAATTTAGTCCTCGACCGTTAGTTGTATGCCAACTTTTTTATTTCACGGACGAATGGCGATCGTTCCGACCAGAATTGTGAGTTCAAAGGATGCTTCTGCCTCCAAAATTCAACTTGATCGCTATTGAATCACATGGAAAGATTGACTAGTCATCGCTTTTGGAACGTGAAGAGGTAAGATCGAGGTATGTCTGGTTTTAAGTTTTTTAGCGAGCTTTTCGAACTGGTCTCCGCAATCTGGCTTGCCTACCTTTTCCCTCTATTAGTATGATACAGACCGTTGAAACAAAAATCGCTCAAATGGCTTAAAGAAGCACCAGGGAGACAAAAAGGACACCAGGTAAGGTTTCAAACTTTATTGAAGCTTTTCAAAGGAAAAAGAAGATATTTTCAATTAAATTTCAAATCCATACAAACTCTTATAAAAATCCATACAAACTCTTATAGTACGCTTTGGTCACCTGTGGTTTTACCCAAATTTGTTGGTTTTTTAGCTTAATTTTCAGTTTCCATAGTTTTTTCTTTTTACGATGAAATCCTTCCAAAATCTTTGCCGTTTTAGCATCTCTATGTGTCTTGATTTTTTTCAAATCAAATTTGCAGATTTTCTGACATTTCTGAACAATTTAGAAATCCAAGATTGGGGATCCAAGATGGTGGATTTATCAAATGTATGACGTCACTGTGGCGTGTATGACGTCATAATTGAATCACGAATGCCACTAAAATAAACATTTTCGGATGTTTTACACACCATGTAAGTTTCATCTTCATAGCGTTAAAACTTTTCGACCCCCCCCCCCCCCCCCAGACTCGTGTATTTTACATTTGGAAACAGTTCGACATTTTTTTGACATTTTTTGACATTTTCAGGGCATGTCTAGCGCATTGGTGTATTGAGTGAGGCGTTTATGGGTCTCGGGATGAATAATTCGTCTCACACGGATGGGTATAGTCTATCTTTGTGAACCGTGGACTACCTCAGACATTTAATGTATTTGAAATGCATGTTAAATGACTATCTATTTTCTCGTGAAATGTGATATTTGCATGCGTAATAGCCGTGAACCGTGATTTTCCATATGATTTTCCATAATTTTCTGTGAAATGAGAATTTAACACCTAATTATTCGTCAATTGTGTTTCAGTTTATTTTATTTTTGTGAATAATTTTGCACCTGTTAAATTTAAACAAAGAACTCAATTTTCGAGTGAAGTTGAAATATAGTGTGCGTGAATACAATTTATATCTGCTATTTTTCTTTCGTGAAGCGTGAAATACTCGTTTTATTTTCCGTGGAATGTGAATTAACCGTTTTATTTACCGTGAAACGTGATCTAGGCCCCCTCAAAATTCGCCGTCCAAGATAAATACGGTTAATGTAACTTGAAAACTTTACCCGGTCCAATACTTAGAAAATATTGGACCTCACTGTTGTGTTACATGGTCGTGAAATAAAACGCAGTATTGTCGTGTCAAAATTCAAGCCTATGATTGGTTCCAAAATATTGTAATTCAGTAACAACGAGGCACTTCGCAGTGTCCTCGCGTACCGCCGGAACAAATTGGGTCAAAATTGGACCGCCGGCAATGTTTATACCTTTTTTTTTAGAATTGCACAGTTCCAGCAACTTTGTACAAGCAACAAGTCACTCAAGTTAAAAAAAAGGTATTAATATGAGTACTAAAGACAGTTAATTATTCAAATTTCTTCTAAATCAAAACAGAACGTTATTTTTAGTTGGTAATTCGCGATTCCCGCACTATTTTTATAGCATAAATACTGTACCATACGTACTACAGTAAACACCCGCTTATAAGAACCTACATTTTTACAAGTCAGCCTGAATAGGTTCTTATATATCGGGTGTTTAGTGGGAAATCAGGCTGTTTAGGTTCTTAATTATGTTCTTATTAATTCAGGGGTTTAAACACGAAGACGGACTATAAGGTATAAGGTAAGGTACCTCGAGTTCATTTGTCAATCAACAGCGAACGAGACAATAGCTGAAAATTAGTCGTCAGTAGAGAATACATAATGTTTCGTTTTTCTTTTTATAAATCATTCTAAATCCCACGGAATAATGACTAGTATCTTGAAATATTTCGGTTTGCAAGAAACAGCAAAAGAACATAGAATATTATCATAACTAACGTGCGTGTTTACGCTGACTGAACCCGCGAAATTCAAACTCGGTCATGAAAGTTTAATATTTGAAGTACATAATTTTGAATTATCTGTTCTAAAAGTTTTAATTCACATCTTACCGAGAACAAACGAGGAAATTTGAGACATTATAAGGTTTTATGTTCATAGTGGATACAAAAATACAAGAACATTACAAAGCTCTAGCCTCCACGTGCAATACTAAAATGCAAATTAGATGGAAAGTAGGAGGAAAATAGGAGGAGCTTAGCCTTTTATAGTGCGTCTTCGTGTTTAAACTGTTTGCTACTGATCAGAATAGTACTTTAATCCCATTATTTCAGTCGTGTCACAGAAACTACTAAATCATACAAAATCCAGGGGAATATAATACATTTTCCACAGTTTATTTATGATGTTGAAAGTTCTACTTGTCCTACAATGCTCAGCGCTAAACTGTTTTTTTGACCCAAATCTTACAAATAAGAACCTATTTCAAATTTCAGGCTGAATGGGTTCTTATATAATGGGGGTCTAATTTCCAAATTTCAGCCTGTAGGTTCTTAATCCACTAGGTTCTTATAAGTACTGTTTTCGAATTTATCGGAAACGTCTCTACACTTCGTAAAAAAAACTTCCTAAACGTAGATGCAATGAATTATTTTAAATTTACATAAGGAATTTTCCAGCAGAAAAGGTCCGAATTTACAGTCCGACTACTGTAACCCGGGCCACACACACAATGTTAACCAATCACATGCAGGGCAGAACAGCAACAATACACACCAACTCTGCGATTTGAGCCAATCAGATGTCGAGTACAGAACAATGAAATTTCAACTCGTGAAGCTAAAGCCTGGTTTCCATATGATCGCAACGATCGCAACGATCGCAGTCACAACGATCGCAAGAGTGGTTTCCATATGATCGCAACGATCGCAACGATCGGCAGCGATCGTTGCGACTACGATCTTTGCGATCGTTGCGATCATATGGAAACCAGGCTTTAGGATGAATACGGCGAACATCTGAGGCGATTATAAGCCTTCCGAACAGACAGATATGCCACTGAAACTATCCGTGCGATGGGTGCTCTTGACCAATGAGAGACCGCTACTAGTGGAATACCTAATCTCGTACCCAGATGTTCTCGCTCTACGGAAGAGTACATCTGGTAAAGTCGGTTGCGTTCTCCACTCTGATTGGATTGAAAGGAAAGTTTCGGAGCTCGCGCGCTGATTGGGTAAAAAATATTCGGAAACTGTTCGAGTGATTCCACGAAGATTTGCCAAAATGGCACTAAGGCCCGGGTCGCAGTTTGGTAACTTTAGTGGATTTCTTCAATTTAAGCGTCAATTATAGCAAAGACGAGTGCGACCTACGTTTTCAGGACGAACAACTTGTCCAAAAATATAAAATAACAAAGAAGCTGCAGTCCTATGATTGGCCCGCGTCGCACGTGTGCACGTTTTGAAATTTGTTTGATACATGCAATAATCGCAAAACAAGTGCGACCTACTTGTTGTGAGTCGGACAAATTTTGTCAAAACGGACAAAACTTCAAAGGCCCCGTAGTCCTGCTCTGGAGCTGGACAAGCCACTTCCCCACGCACCGGGTGACTCCAGATAACAATGTTTGCTTGATTAACCATTGTGTTTTTCTCTGAGAATAACAAATTTTGCATTTTGCAGCACGTGTAGCCATATATTTTGATTCAAATTTACCGCGGCCTCCAGGACTGTGTGCAAGTATAATATGCATGGTTTACGTCACCAAAACTGGATTTAAAATATGTGAATAACAATGCATTGTTTTTTTTCGTTTGTTTTTATTAGTTTTCTGTGGTAATCGTTACAAGTCGAACCAACTTCATGATTTTAATAATGTTGTGAAGGACAAAGCTGTTCTCCCCAAAGCCCAGAATTTGGTCATTTCACGTCGTTGTTTTGCAGAGGACAGCTGAGGAATGTCCCAAGAGGTTTATAGCACGTGAAAAGCTATTGTGCTAGTAACTAGACCTTTTGTTACTATACAAGATGTCTCTGACAACATGTCCTGACAATTGTTTTGAAAATGTCGGGACATTTCAAAACTTGTCCGCCGACTGTAACACAGGTATGGCGCGTAGACGGTCCAATAAATACTCACCTTAGGACCTGCTGATAACCAATGGGATTCGAGAATGTTGTTATAGTTATGATTAAATGCATTATCGGCGTCTCAAAATCACAATATCAATATCAATACGTTGGTATTATATGTATTTCATATAACTGTATCGATGCCTATGTTTGGGAGTGAAATGTTGTTTGCGTCTGTGGTCTATTTTAACGAGGAGACAAAAGTAGAGTGACAAATCATTAGTTTTATTTGAAGACTGGAGTTCTGGACGACGTTTTCAATATACATGCATGCATTGTTTGTTCATAAAAAAAAAAATTAAAAAAAAATAAAATAAAACATGAGAGAGATATTATTCTGTCAGTGACACAAGCTACTCGGACAAAAATTCCGAGTTCCCCCAACAGGAGTCGGACTTCTCTTGGTCGGACCTATGACCTTCCGCACACCTGTCGGACGCTGTACCACTGAGCTACAGAAGCCTCGTGGGAGCTAAGGCCATATAACTAGGTTCAAGTGTAATGAAATAAAACACATTTAGAGGTAACAGTAGAAATATCCACTTTATTTACCCGGGCGCCAAACTGTCTTCCCGTTGCGGCGAGAAAATAAAATTTATTAATTTTTAAACAGAAAAGGAATTAAGAAACAAAGGATTTTTAAAAACCAATAAAACGACAGACGAAAGGTAATGTTTACATTTATTTTTTACATATTTTTTTGGATTTCCAAGGCTTTGCTAAAAACACTCGCAAAAACAAAGCTCTATAATTATATTGGAACATATGGTACTTTTAATTAAGTGGCTTATCTCAGAATAAAACAATGCCTGTTTTTTGGTTACAAAAGAAAGAAAACAAAAACGCGCTTATCATTAGAAACATTTGCACATACTATTGCAACATACGGCAGAGCTTTGAAAACGCTAAGATGAGTCGCTGAAATTGAAGTAAGTAAAACTAATTTTGCAAAATCCGTAAAATGAAAATAGTTAGACGAACACTATACACATTGTTTTTTTTGTTCGCTTCAAACGTCGAACTATCGCCATTTGTTGAGTCAATGTGGTGAAATATTCGACTTTTAAAAGCAGTGGAAAGTGTTATGTTAAGGTTTGGTTGTGCGCTTATAATTTTTGGGTGTTGGGTCGTTTTAATGCGACTGCTTTCAATTCCTTTATAGATATATACGTTTAGGTTCACCGCAGTATTGCAGCGAAACCCTTGAAATTGCAAAATTACTGTTGCAACGACTAAAATTAATATCTTAATTCGGATTTACAGACCATAGTATTGAAAGATTTTTAACTGTTTTACTGTGTATGTTCGCTCTTTGATTAAGTTAGTTTACAGTTGTACGCTGCAGTGATCTAAATTTATGATAGCATTGCATTAGCAGAAAACGTCTAAGATAGCAGGCCATTTTGTAGAATATAGCACATAGTATAAAGCATACAGGCAACTCTCGCCTTGCGGGCACCCTGTTATTAAGGCCACCTGCTATTAAGGACAAAATCCAGCCCTCCTCAAATGACTCCCGCACGCATGATTTTTCAAGGAGTTATTTTAACTCCAAAAGGGGTTATTCTGAACCTTTTTGGAGTTAAATTAGGTTCAGAATAACCCATTTTGGAGTTAAAATAACTCCTTGAAATATTGCTCTAAACTACGTCCCGAAGGTGTCCGCTATAATGAGAGTTTACTGTAATTAGGATTCAACCATACATCTTTACTGCCCTATAAAAGAGGACTTTTGTGTGTATCTGAATCAAATCAAATATCTACATTTCGAAACACGAAGTTTGCAAACGAAGCTTCCACTAAATCCACACTAAAAATGGTCAAAAATGTCTCGCGAAGAAGCGTACGTTTGAGATAATTATATTGCAGCAATTGTTCTTCAGCGCGGGTCGCGGTCTGAACACCACGATTTCATAGTTTTCACACTTCAATTTAATTAAACTTTAAACTTTTTTATTTTTTTTTATTTTATTTCAATCAATTCGTTGGGAGCTCCGATGAAATCCCTTTAAAAAGCTACTCGAGATGATTTTATTTCATTTTATTGGTATTTGTTGTTGTTTATTTCAGCCAGAAATGTTCAATTCATGTTTCATTACATTTATGCTGTTCCTTCATATTTTGTTGACGAAACTCAAACACAAACTTATCATAACAAAGCATAAAAACATGACTATAGAAAACCGGAACATTACAACTTCCAGGTGAAATAATTAACATGTAGTTTCTAGTTTTAGAAGACTGTTCGTTCTCGCTGAAAATGCTCGACCACGAAAACCTTTTTCGATATATTTATTTTTCCAACTAAATGTTATCGAATTTTATTTCGGCGAAAGGATGTTTCGTAACCCAAAGTACTTATTTCATTCATATTTTGCTGATAAAACGTAAACTAAAGTCATGGAGGAAAATTAAAAAATTCAGACGGTCAATTAGCAGTTTTTGCCGTATTTTCTTTAAGCTTTGCCGACTTTTCTATGGAGCACAGGATTTTAATGACCTGTTTATTTTTCGTGTTTATATTCATCAAAAGCTAGAAGCATAAAACAAGTTCTATAAATCTCGTTATTAAGAAATGTGTAAATCCTAGCTAAACCTGATCGACGTCATGCAGATTCAGTCAGTCTGCAGATAAAAATGGGAGCTAAATTTACTGTTTCATTGCAAGAAAAAATTAAAGGATTATCTATTATTTTGCCCTCGTTATTCCAACTCGTGACTACCGTTATTGTGTCAAAACTTTAATGGAACAAAGCCATATAAACAGAAGGGTCAAGAGTGTCGATCCTGGATCCGTCAATGCACGCTGAAAGTTCAATGTTTGTTTCTCGAAATTCAAAATGGCGTCGGCTAAAATGAACAGTAACGAACTGATAAGATGTTCGAATTTTATTCAATCCACATATCGGTGAATATATACTGAATCACGGGAAAAAAATATGCTTCAGTGAAAATTCAGAAAGATAGCCCATTAATTTACCTATATCCGTTATCCTATCAATAGTCACCGAAGAGTCTATGTATCAACGCACAATGTTTTGATCATGTGAAGACTTTCAATGCATGCTGGGTATTAATTGATCGAACACAAAACAGCGACCCAAATGAGTTTTCCACAGGAGATCAAAAGGAGAGGAAATATCAGTATTTATTCCATAAGAATGGACTAAAAGGTCTAAATATAGTCAGTTTTTCGACACTCTCGATGTAGGATCACATGATTTTCTGTGTACCGGTTAGTAATCTTATAATTATTTCAACGATATATCGTATCATACAGCATAGCTAGCTTATCTGATACTTACAAGATTGCTGAAAAAGTAACTACAGTGATGACATTGCCGAGATGTCTAATGATGCATAATAATGCATTGCATAATGTATCCTCGATATATTGTCTTTCGGAGAAAATTATTATCATAAGAAGCCGAATATTCTAGTTTGGAAAACAATTCACTATCATATAATGTATTCGAGATGTATTTGAATAGCAAAAAAAAAGAAAATTCAAGTTAACACGTTACAAGTTTCTCGTCCGAAACGACTAAATTCCACCACCAGCCGAACTGAGTTGATCGCAATGCTGAAGGAGAGAAGCAAGCTTCGGGATAAAAACGAAAAAAGAAAACTACAGTGAAACTTCGATTTCTCGAACCTCCACTGAAAACGACAATTGGTTCGAGAAATCGGGAACTTCGAAATATCGGGGGTAAAATTACAGTGAAAACAAGTCCGAAGGGAAACAACTTTTGGTTCGTGAAATCGGGCTTTTTGAGAAATCGAGGGTTCGAGAAATCTAAGTTCCACAGTTGAATTGCATGTTATTTGATTTGGGATTTTTTTTCCGGGAATTTTCAAGACCACTATAATGTGACGTCACTGGAATATAGTTAAATCTCGGGCTAATTCTCCCCTAGACTGTTGAGAAAAAATATTGATTGTTTCCTTCAATGGCATCATGTAGGTAGCCGGCGTGCAGACGTCCCCTATTTCCTTGCTTCACGCGGAAAATGGAAGTAAATAGAGACGTCTGCACACAGGCTTCATGTAGGAAATGTAGAAGGGCTTGCTAAACACTAAGAGCTTCTCTAAAATTAGCTGTGATTGGCACAGCTTGAGTACTGTAGGATACATTATTTTCCGTTGGTCAGTATTCCTTTCAGAGGAGAGGAAAATTTCACCGACACGGAAGTTAATTTGCATTTTGATTGCCTTCAGGTGATGTTACACGAGAACATTTTTATTTTTATTTAAAGGCGATTCATGATCAGTAACGGCAACTTTTGATCCCCATGTTACATGATCTTACATGATACAACTTTAAATGCAATATTGCTGTGGAAACGGTAAGTTACAGTAGAACATTTTTCAACCCGACTCCCGGCCAGTTACAGTGAAGATGACGCTACCGTTGCCACTCGACAGAGTTTTTGATTAATTTTTGACATCTTTTTGACAACTTTGATGGGTTCCGTTTTGTGGCGCCACATTTGAACTAGACTAGAAACTAAAACCATTCAAATTTCACGACTCTACCTCCAACACTCTTTGGATTTTTATCGGTCAAGTCAAACGGAACCCATCCAAAAGTCGTCAAAAAGTTGTCAAAAAGATGTCAAAAATTAATCAAAAACTTTTTCAAGTGTCAACGGTAGCGTCATCTTCATTACGGACCTTCAGATTGGGGTACGAGTACGAGAACGAGTACGAGTACGAGTTTCTACTTTCAAAACAATATTGCGTTCCCAGAGCCCTCGCTCTTCCCTGTGACTGACCAGTAGAAGTGTAGGCTCTGGCCGGAGATTGGCGCGACACGTGATGATCTTGAGGATGTGCAATAGGTTTAAAAAGTTGTACTCGTACTCGTTCTCGGTTACTCGTACCCCAATCTGAAGGTCCGTACTGTAAAAATTGGGACAACGATGTTGCAGATCAACTAGAATTGCTTTCAAATACCTGCAACGTGTTGCCGCACGTTAAAAATGTTAAAAATCGTCCAGCGCGCCATGTTAATCCATGTTACACGATTTTTACTTTTATTGGAACATTGCGTTGAAAATTGTCGTTAAAATGTCCTCGTATAACATCACCTTAAAAAAATCTGAACTTAAGAAGCAATTCAAATTAGTGCTATTTTACTCTAATTGTACTCCGATGCAGAGATGCAGAGATGAAGGACTTGGAATGCGTTTTATATTTCGCCATCCTTCTGGGCGTTGTCGGGGAGAAAATCTCTTGTGGAAGTAAATTGGCCATTCAAAGACACGAAAACAACAGATTTGCTGTTTTTCGTAAAGTCAAAGAAGGTAGGAGACTTGTACGAATGTTATTGAACTAGCTTGTTATTCATAAATGGCCGCAGTTTAAAAAAAAATGATGATATCACATTAATGAGCACTGCAAAATATATCATCTTTAGAATTTGAGTATTTTTGGTTAAACGGCTTCAAAGTTATAGCTCATTCAAATGT